AGACGACCTGAAAACCGATTTGGCCAACTTTTTCGTAGCGCAGCCGCCAGAGTTCTATTGGAATGGCATCCATAGTTTGCATAAACGTTGGCGTGAAGTGATAGAGGCCAATGGTGATTACATTCATGATTGAGATGATTTTGCTTTTAAATAAACTGGGTTGTAATAATTGTTCATGAAATTCCGAGAACTTTCTTTCCAATCAGATAATTGACTCAGACAACCGAGCGCGCGCTGTATCATTTTTACTGTCTCGATCAACTTTTTAATGAATATATTTGAAAAAACCGCGATAGAGTGAAGCCGCGAAAGTCGAAGCGTGAAGTGGCGAGGGACGACTGTACATCACAACACCAAGCTGTTTCTCCTGATGAACTCTTTCTGTGGAAGGTGAATATGGAGGAGTCCACGATCGATTTGTCTCTTCCTTTCTGAAATGGAACGTCCTCCATTTCATAAGCACAAGCTCGGACAGACTGACATAAGTGACCGCTTGAAGAGTGATTGAGTTGCAACTGACAGATAAGAAACCAGCCGGTTGAGAAGAGCCGTTTATCGGTGGTATAATCCGTCTATGAAATACTAGCGTGGCATACTTTACATGTGAAGGAAAGTCCAGAATTGATGGTTAGTATATAGTTTGAATTTTTTTTCGTCGGATTATTTTGTCAGTTATCGATTTTTAATAAAGCCTAATTGCAGAGTTTAAGCATTTTATGATAAAAATCTGAGGTGAATTGATATCATGACGCACATGGAAAGTCAGCGAATCGAAAGTCCGGAACGAAGGGTTGCGTGCGCTATTTTTCCCCTCTATATTTTCTGGGCTGTTGTGATGTGGGGAAACAGTATTGTAACCTTTCCCTTGACCTTAGAAACCCAGGAAACAACCTGACGGTCTCTCTGCCTCAGGTTGTTTCTGGAGCAGTGAGGTCTCCTGTCCCTTGAGAAAATCAGTTTTTTAAGTCTTTCGAAGAGGACGGCATGGAAAAAAAAACTCCGTCTACGAAATAAAAAGTGTAAAATCGTCGATAACTGCGAAGTATCGAAAGGAAGCAAAAAAATTGGCAAAAAAACATTAATCATGAAGAAGTCTACCATCAAACAGGCATCTCTTAACACAATGATCTAGATCTGACATGAGGAAAAGCATCTGTAAATGAGAGTCCTTTCATGACTGTTCTGCAAATCTCTTAAAAGTTCCTTCAGACTTTTCCAACATCAAACCACACTCATTTCATGCTACTGATCACTGCGCTGGTGAACAACCAAGAAGGCTGCGGCTAAGGAAACCGAAGAAATTCCTGTAAGTGGTTAACCTGCTGCAGTTATTCTCTTCAAACCCGTTTTAATCATGATTCTTGAGGGCAGGGAAATCCTTATAAATACTTGAATAGTACGAGTGGACATAATATCATCTTCATTCCTTTCCCAACCGAATACGAAATCAACGATTATTGTGGCCTACTGTTACATGAGGAAGACGCGAGGCCCGATTGCGATCCGCTCTTCTGGGAGGGCATGGCGCTGCAGGCTTTTCATCCTAATGCCTCATATCTTCCCAGTGGACTCACCGTTGATGGCAGGAAAACGAGAGGTCGAATGATAACCGAAAATGGTACTTCGAGGATCGGAATTTCGATAGGCTGACCTGTGTTCCTTTACACAGTCAAGACAGATACTGAAGGTCATTGATAGGGAATATCACAACACAGAAAGGCCAACATATAAAACACGGGAAAATACTAAAATTCTGAAATTGAACTTCCCAAAAAGTCAATTTCAAGGAGAACGAAAAGTAAGATGAAATGCAGCGCCCGTGTCCTCAGAGAAAGTGGGTATACGAGATTCCCACAGCCATCTGTGATTGCCAGGATCCTCTTTTCCACTTCTTCCTCTGCTTTTTTTCCGCACTTTTTTTTTCTCATGGACGTGTCCGTTCTCTAGCTTAACGATCGATCATCATCGACCACCGGTAACTTCATTAATACCATGTTATTTTCAAAACACAGGTAATCCGCAATAGAATTCGTGAAACTCCATTGAGGCAAGGGCTTTCTCTGACCTTGTACTGTTATGTGAAAAGAAAAGGATCCTCCGTTCCGCTTCTTCGGCCTCGAGAACCAGGTGATGGTCAAAAGTCGTCCCTCAGCAGTTCCTTCCGACTTTCTGACCTTGGAAGGCGTTCAATCTTAAGCTTTAAGGGGTTACGATCCCAAGATGACTCTTATGCTCCTGAGTCTTGTGTCCTTGCTTCGAGGGCGTGATCCCACACGATTCTTACCCTCTTTTGTACTAAATAGCTTCATAACAATTACAGAACTGTTTGCCCGCTTACGAAATAATTTTGTGCACCCTCTAGGTAGTTGCGCACGAAAAATTGCAAGGGGTGAGAACGCACTCACCTTTCTTTAAAATTAAATTCATCACCATGAAACTAGGCAAGTTTTCTCGAACAAAAATTATGACCTGATGTTAAAGGTGCGTTCACACCAACCGTATAGCATAGCATAGGGCGACATAACAGCACAAGTGCCATTGTGTGGTCAAAACCAGGGCTCTAGGGTCTGCGAAGAGTTGAGCTGGATTCAATATAGCACACGAGGAACCCGTGTTCAGCTAATCAAAGCATAGATGTGTCGTCAAACTTATCATGGCGGTTTGCATGGAGCATGGAGATCGTATATACCGGTATATATATATATCAGTATGAAATCGGTACGATCTCTATGGCATGGAGGAACTCCTTATAACTGAAGTCCAAAGGTGATGTCAAAAGCAGGCCATTAACATCCATAGTGGGGAATAACAAGATTCTACTATGCAGTCTACTCGGATTTCACTCTGCTCACTGCCAAGAAAGCCTACCGGATGCGCCATATTGATGAAAAGATCCGCATAGCGCGACGCCAATGTGAACAAGAATCTTTAGGCGCTGTGCTATTTTATGTCAGTCATGCTATGCTATGTGGTTGGTGGAAACGCAGCTTAATTCATGTCGGAAGCATAAGAAGCTTCAGCGAAATCCCAAAGAAAAGAACACATTTGTCTGAGACAACATAAAAGGAAAAATTTTGACGATACGCAATAGACAGCTGAACTTTCTTTCCTCTTACATTTGTTAAGAAAACATATTTGCATCCGAAGTTTTTCTAGTCACCTAACCCATGCTGCACGAACACGTCCTCATGATGTACCTGGTTTAATAAAAGAAATAATAAACCTACTGGGCGAACTTTGAAATTAACAGGCCTTCAATACTCTATTCCAAGAAAAATCTGGTGCACATACAACCTTTTTTCATGGACTTTATGACTTTCTCTTTTCTATTCATTACTTAAACTCCGTAACGCGATCACAATGAATTCCATACTGTTGGAAAGCTCTCTACGGAAGGACTCTTGCAGAAATCTTGACATGGTAAAAGAAAATATGGATAGGTCTGTCACACGCTGCTGCCCAACCGCTCACTTTTCAGTTGGTCTATTTGCCCATACAAATGTTTGTCCTCCCTTTTGCTCGACTTCGATGAGTCTGGTTTTCCCTTTCTTATCTCTTTCCCCTCTACTGCTGCATTCATTTCTATTTTCTGCCTTCTCCTTCCCTGAGGCCTGCACCTGTTCTATCGTTGATTTTAGTGCTCCGTGTTTGAGCGAATAAAGACCACATTTGAACAGTAAAATAAAAATAATAATAAATAATAATACATATATTATATTTACATACATATAGCGACGGCGCGAGAGACGGAGAAGATGAGATATACCTTTAGGAAGAACGGTTTCTTGGGCTGTGGCGATGACCGCCAATAGGGTGGCCCAAAGCGCCACTGATGTGCACCACGTTCTCATCCTGTATCACTAGACTCGATCGTAGTGGAACCTCAATAACCCGAGCTCATTCCACTACAGCGGTTGGTTCCTCACTGTATGTCTGGAAGGGAAAACAGGGGACCTGGATGGGAACAGGTGGAAAGCGGCAGCGGAGGAACTAGGCCTATATTTTATTATTCTTTCTCCATCCACCGTATGGCTCTTTGTGGCTTCACACTCGATCGAAGAATACCAATCAGAAGCGGAAAGGGAAAGAGAATTACTTAAAGAATGAGGGAAAAGGGAAGAATGGGAGAAGAAAGAGTGGGGCGTGATACGAGGCACGCACACCACGCTTCCTTTTTCTCACGTCCCAGTCCGTTCCCCTCTTGCCAATCTAGACTCCTATACGAGGAGTGATCTCTTAATCACTTCATGCTCGACCCGCCTCAGAACGGAACGGAACCGCGGCCTCCGCATTGCTATTGTCCGACACACGGGAGGACGGATGGTAGGGCAAAAATTGCTGGATTGTGAAGTACGACCCATCATTAGTTCTGCCAACGAACTTCACCGTCAAGAGATCGCTTCCGGACGACAGGACCAGCAGATGCTCCCGAAAATCTTCCTTCTTCGTCTTCAAGAGAACTAAAGGGAACCGACTCGAATCACATTCGCGGAAGCGAATCTCCAGTTCTAGGAACATAGGAATCCTAGGCGCTAGCCAGGTCACTGAACTTCCCCCAGTTCCTCCGCACCTGTTCCTTAATGGACCACCCTGTTTGTCTTGGCAGGGATAAAGAAGAAGAATAAATTACGGAAGGGAGATGATAATGGTCATCCTCCTTCTAACCCGGTTTGGCATTTCCCCTATGAACACCAAGAGGCCTGGATTCCACGCAATCCGCATCAATTTTTTTCCTTCCTTTCCACGCGCTCCATTCCACGCTTGGTTCCCTCCTTTCATTTTATCCCTCCTCCCCGTAATTAGACGTGCCACGATTCAATCACCCGGCAGAAAGTGGAGTAAAGAAAAAGATGGAAGAAAAAAAGCACGAACAAAAATGATGAGAGGGTTAACCCTGACCCTGACGAAAAACCGGTTGAACGAGACTAAGAATTTTCTCTCCTCGGTGAGGTCACGTCACTTTCATCCATCATGCAATTCGCGGTAGTCCACTATTCGATCAAGTGATGAAAAGAAACGACGCGTCACGTCGGAAAAGCGGCGTAACTGATCACGAACAACAATCCTTTCAAAGGCGGATTAGGGAATTTCACGTGTATCATCTTCGGAGAAGAGCCGGACACAGCGCTTCCCTTCGACTTCAACTGACAAACATTCCCGGATCTGACCGATCAATAGATATATGTAGGCTTTTCCGTTTATATTCTTCTTCGATGCATTCCCTTTAGTCTGTCTTTCGCATTGATTTATTCTCAACAAAAAAAAGGACAAAGCCCCTTTCTGTCGAATATGTCGACCTCAAATACGAACGACTATATTAACATTTAAAATAGACTGCGGTCGGTGCCTTCGGTGACGTTTATGGGGGTCTCAACGTTTCTATCATCGTACTTCATGAAAAACCAGTCACCATGATGAGGGTTACTTCGAGACTTTTAAAGAAGCCACGAAACGCCGTCAAGTAGCCTCTTTCGATTCGGGGTTACCATAGGCCTAAGCCTAAATACCATAGCCTAGGCTACTGTAGGTCAGGAAAATCACGAATTGAATCGAAAGCGAAACAGGGAAAGAAACGCGTGTAGCACGTCACGTAAGTCCTTTTTTTATGGCACATCACGGAAGGAATGGGCACACGGCAGAGAGGACGTGACCGAGATCGGCGATGTCCGTATGGCTCTTCCTCCTCCTCCGGGGTCCCGGTCATCCGTAATTGAGATAACGGTCCCTACCTCTCCCGGGTCAAAACCGAACACTCCACCGCACAACCCTCTACCTCGATGGCAAGAAGCCGAATGGCATTCACAGGGCTCCGGAGGAACAGGGGAGAGGAGGGGAAGATTCGACCTCGAAGATCGAGCACTTCCTCGTCTGTTTATGAGATCTATCAGGGCCAGACTGAGGCCAAGGCGAGAGAGCGAGCGACAGCATGGGTTTCGTCTTCTCCCTCCCCCTGCTTTTATACTCCGTCCCGTCGTCACTCCGACTACAGTCCCATCCGTCGAGCCCTCCGAAGTACAGGCCATCACTGCAAGCGTCCGACCGTCGCTTGAAAGGAGGCCGGCGGTGCCTCTTATAGGATCCGCGAACGCCTCTTGCGAGTGGGAGCCCTCAGCATGGAGGCCTACTCGGGTCACATGCACCGCGCCTGCCCGATCCCGTGATACAGGGTATACCCGCGGTGAATCGTGTCGCATCTTCGGAGGCTTCTAGAGCCATGCGCATGGCGAAGCATGGAATGAGCATGGCACACTTCTCTCTTCACTTCACGATTTCAGGATGACTGCTGAGTTTTTTTCGCCCTCCAAATCCTTTGACTCGGAAAAGAGAAAACGGAGAGAGTTCCATGACGATCGCAATTTTACCTCTCTCTCTTTCCCGCCGAATAACCTCGATGGGCAGTAGTAATGGTTCTCTCTTTTTCTACCCCTGTTTTTGTTTTCCGGATCATCTGCAGAGAGAGGAGGCAGGGCGAGAGCATCGGAGCATCGGAGAGACTCATCGGCTGATTCCATTCTTCTTTATCGGATCTACCCAGATCGATTCACCTCAGACTGATAAGTCCCGAACAGTCTATATAATGAAACACAAAACAAGATTCGAGAATCGAAAATATCCAAGATATTCTCGTCTTTTCGTCCAGAAGGTGCTTCAGGACTTGAGAACGAAGTATGATCATTTGATCATACTTCGTTCTTGAGTATGATCATTTTCGCAAATGTTGACGTTGGGCACGATTCTCAGGTGACCCAGCAGATTACTCCCAAGACATAAAACTCCAGACACTCCACGACCGACTTAATACGCACCTTCAAAATACTTCTGTCATTATGAATCCAGACGAGGACTTGAATGGATTCCATGCCTCTTAGTCGAGTGAAAGGTTTCTCTCCTGTCTCGTACCTGCCAACCTCGGACTCTTTATCTCTATGGCCGATGCTGTTTCTCAAATGGAATGCTTCGAATCTCAGAAGGGAAAGACATTTCCGAATCTATTAGGATTCTAGCCTCGAGACGTGATTTGCGAAATTGGGTATCATTGTCGAACTCTTGCCAAGAGGAATATCAAAACGCGACCGTTATTTTGACTGCCATTTAACATGGCCAGCATTATGGAAAGATGAAACTGATGAGAATGTGGTTCTTTTTCCTGACCCAACTGGCCTACTTCCTCAATCTACAGTATGCATCGTGACACACCTCGATGATCCGAATTCCACTATATCCCGTTTGAATCGGTTACGTGACCTTCAACCTATGATCGTACAACGTGACACCCTTTGATCTTTTCCTTACTAGTGTTGCTCATATCGAGCACCGTCGAACGATGTCCCACTTCATTCATTGATGTTCGAGGGCTATGTCCCTTAGGTAGGGGGTAGTTTCGGCGAAGTAACTCCTCCATAGTCACGTTCGATGACAATTTCACACGAATTACTTAATTTCGACCTTCAAATGAACCCGGTTTAACTTTTAACCTTTGACCGACCAAACCTAACGTTAGAAAATTTTCGCATAAGGTCGAAGGGAGGAGGGGGAAGGGGGGGAGAGGGGGGGAGAGGGGCATTGTTAGCCTCAGTTTGATAACGGAGAAAAAATACACCAGAGAGATATTGATGCATCTTGGAATAAAATATAAGATTGTTAAAAATCGTCGGGATGTTTTAATGGGGATTTATCTGCTGGATATAATTTCAGGGACTTTTTGTCTTGGATTACAAATCCCAGATTATCATGTCGAGGTGCCTTCAGGGGAAACAGGCGCTGACGAAGACATCGACTGGCTGGAGCCAATTTCGTGTCACGTGACACGGATGTGAGCCATGCGACACGAATGCAATCCGACTTTTCCGGCGAATGCGACTTTTCTTCTACGCCGTTGGCTTCATGCAGTCCCGTAAGAAAAAGGGAGAAAAGAAAGAAAAAGGGAGAGAAAAGGGGAGATTAAAGGAGGCAGGGCAGAGGAGCTTGATGCCGCTCTGCCGCTTCCGTCAGGGATCGTCTCCGATCGTTGCATCCTCGGTGCGAATGTGTTTTCGTCGTGCAATTGTCCTTACAGGCCTCACGACGATCATAAGCCACGTATCGTGCCTCATGATAATTATATTGTCATAAAAATCTAGGCGTAGAACTTCGAATTCGAAGCTTGTACAAGCAGGACGAGCACATTCCTATTCTTTTCATTCGGCCTAGATTCGTAGAAGCTATTGGTTGTCCTCACCTTCCGAAGAGGCTCATGCCGTCTTCTGTCTTGGAGTGTTGCCAGAAACAACGACCGAAACACGAGACTTTCTAGTTAAGGTTTCCATTTACCTAAGAATGTTAAATTATACTGTTCAATGGTACAACCGGTATATCGGAAACGATAGTAAATGCACGTATAAATAGGCGAAAATAGGCAATCGACTCGATGGCAACTCAAAACATGGATTTTCTTTTCAGTAAGATGCAAAAAGAAAGCAGTATACAATTTTAGATATTGGTTTTTCATCTATAAATTCTCGTACTCCGTGCGAGAGAAAATTTCAAATAAAAAAAAACAACAAAGCAAAACAAAACATGTGCATGAAAATCCTTGTGGAAACATCTGACGTTTGCATTGAATCGGCGGATTCTCTCACTCATTCCGTCAACGTCTTCCAGTCCGCTGCTTAAATCTCGAACGGTCGAGTACTTCCAGAGGTCTTCAATCATCTGCTTCGTATCTTGTGAGAATCCTAGCGATCGAACAGAAAGACCGACCTGGAGCAAAAACTTACAGATGGCTTTCGAAACACGAGCTACCGATGGACTTGCATCGATTCCATCGTGTGCCTGCCTTTTCGAATCTTACATATTCATCCAGTGCTGAAAGCACGAAAACAAAGACGAGATGGGAAAAACACATATTGAGGGATGAGATAACGATCTCTCCTCATCTCGATTCCACATAGCGCCCTATCTAAAGTACTCA